GAATGTGTAAGTTGCTTTGGATAGTATTGACATTTTTACAACAGTAAGTCTTCCGATCCATGAACACAGATTATTTTTCCATTTATTTCTGTCTTCAGTTTCTCTCATCATTGTTTTTATGGCTTTCAGGGTATATATAGATCTATCACTTCCTTTGCTAAACTTATGCCTAAGTATTTTATTGCTTTTGATGCTTGTAAAAATTTTTTTTCTCTCTCTCAGATGCTTTGTTGCTAGTGTATGGAGATGCCACTGATTTTTCTTTTATTTATTTTGAGAGAGACAGAGACAGTATGAGTGGGGGAGGGGCAGAGAGAGAGAGAGAGAGAGAGAGAGAGAGAGAGAGAGACACCGAGCATCCCAGGTAGGCTCCGAGATGCCAGCACAGAGCCCAATGCGGGGCTCAAATGCACGAACCATGAGATCGTGACCTGAGCCGAAACCAAGAGTCAGACGCTTGAGCAACTGAGCCACCTCAGTGCTATTGATTTTTGTATTCTGCAGCTTTAAGGAATTCACGTATTAGTTCTAACAGTGGAAGCTTACTGTTTTTTATATAAAATAGCATGCCATCTGTAAATAGTGACAGTTTTACATCTTCCTTTGTAGTTCGATGCCTGTTACTTGTTTTTCATGCCTGATTGCTCTGGCCAGGACTGCCAGTACTGTGTTGAATAAGCACGGTAACAGTGGGGAACCTTATTTTGTTCCCGAGCTTAGAGGACAAATATTCCGCTTTTCCCTGTTAAGGGTGATGTTAGCTCTGGGCTTGTCATTTATACGGCCTGTAGTATACTGCGGTGCGTTCCTTCTGTACCTAATTTGTTGAGGGTCTTTATCACGAAATGATGTTGTATTTTTGTTGACTACTTTTTCTGCGTTTATTGAGGTGATCATAGGATTTTTTTCTCCCTTCATTTTGTTATTGTGACGTATCACATTTATTGATTTGCATATATTCAGCCATCCTTGCATCCTGGGGGTGAATCCCGCTCGATCATGGCGTATGATCCTTCCATGTGCTGTTGAGTTCAGTTTGGTGGTATCGTGTTACGGAGTTTCTCGTCTGCGTTCATCAGGGATATTGGCCTCTACTGTTCTTGTCTTGTAGTGTCCTTATATGGCTTCGGTTTCAGGATAAAGCTGGCCTTGTAAAATGGCTTTGGACATGCTCCTGCCTCTTCGGTTTTTTGGGAAGAAGTTGAGAGGGGTGGCTGTTAATTTGGCCTCAACTCTTTTTCCTGTTTGATTGGTCTCCTTACTCATTGTTAGTTTGTTCAGATTTTCTCTTTCTTTAGGAGTCAGCCTTGGGAAGTTGTGTGTTTTTAGGAATTTGTCCATTTCTTCTAGGTTGTCCAGTTTGCATTTAATATCATGTCGTGATTACCTTTGCATATTGGGAGGCAGTAGGGTGAAAATGGCTTTCCCGTCAGATCTGTGTTGCAATCCCAGCTTTACCACTGATCGTCTCTGTTGTCTTGGGCCACGATTTCACCCCTGAACCTGTGTCTGCGTCTCTACCGTGGAGCTGCCGCTCTGAATCACACTGGGCTGGGTGAGGATGGGATGCCCTGGGAGAGCCCTCGGCCCGTAACCCGTTTCTCGAAAGGTGTGGAAAATGTGGAGTTACGACGCTGTTACGAATGTTTAAAAGGAAACTTGGAGATTTTAGAGGAGTATTTCTCAAAATGTGGTTTCTGCATTATAAGTAGCCGTAGTGTATGTTAAATATGATGATTTGTGTATTTTTACCGTAATTTAAAAAATAACGGAGGGGCACCTGGCTGGTTCAGTCGGTTAAGCGTCCAGCTCTTGATTTCGGCTCAGGTCACGATCTCGCAGTTCATGGAATCGAGCCCCGTGTTAGGCTCTGCGCTGATAGCGTGGAGCCGGCTTGGGATGCTCTCTCTCTCTCCCTCCCTCCCTCCCTCTGGCCCTCTTCCACTCGTGCGTGCACATGCACGCTCTCTCTCTAAATAAAAAGCAAAAATAAAATTATTCAAAAACATGTATTTTGTGGCAGTGTTTTATCAAGTGAAATGCTAATATAAAAGTGAGAAAAAACAATAAAGGAATGTAATGTTTAAATAGAAAAACAACTGTTCTAAGCTTGCTATGGAAACATTTTCCCCCAAATACGCAGAAAATATCTTTGGTGGACTGAATGAGTTAAGCATTTTTTTTTTTTTTTAAACCAGGCTTCCAGGGGCGCCTGGGTGGCTCAGTCGGTTAAGCGTCCGACTTTGGCTCAGGTCATGATCTCATATTCTGTGGGTTCGAGCCCCGCGTCGGGCTCTGTGCTGACAGCTCGGAGCCTGGAGCCTGCTTCCGATTCTGTGTCTCCCTCTCTCTCTGCCCCTCCCCCATTCATGCTCTGTCTCTCTCTGTCCCCAAAATAAATAAACGTTAAAAAAAAAATTAAAAAAAAAAAACAACCAGGCTTCCATTTTGCCACGTAGCATCTAAATGCTGGATAAATTAGCACAAGCATACTTGTAGGACTTAAACCTTCGTGTATAATACACATGCTAAAAAATAGTCATTATTGGCTCATAGCCTGGTGAATTTCCACAACGTAAATAAACACACTTGTGCAACCACAAGAGTGTCACCAGGCACTTCCGGAAGCTCCTTCCGACCCCCTCCTGTAGCCACTGAAGTCTCTTCCTCCCAAGGATCCCCCTCACCTGACTATTCCCGTAGACAATTGCCCTGTGTTTGAATGGATCGTACCTACGGAGGCGGCCTGCGTCGATAAGGCTCGTTTAGCTTAGTGTTCTGTTGTGAGGCTCCGCTCGGGGCAGGAATTTGTTTATTCATTCTGTCTCTGGGGATCCTGCCAGAGCCTGAAACCGCAGTGCCCTGAGGCGTCCGTCATATGGAGTTGAATTGATTTCTCTCCTGTGCATCTAGGACTGTGCTAGTCTTGTGCCTTCGGGAGCATTGAGAAAAGAGGCACTCACATCATTCTCTTAGAATCCTGAAAAAGGATGTGAGCTTTAGCATTTTGGGTTTTGTGGTCGAGCCTTCCAGCGGATGACTTCTAACATCTTCTCTGCTTCTCTTGTCCTCCCTGGGAGTTCCCGTGTGCTGCAGGCTACTCTGTCCCACCCGGGAGTGGGAGTCCAGCGACGTTCTCTAAATGGACAGCTGGCTCCTAGGAAAATTAGGGAAATTCCTAGAGGCCAAAAAAAAAAAGACGGGGGGGGTGGGGAAGCTGCAGCCTCTGGAGCCAAAGCCTTGGGTGAAAGGAGGCAGAGGGGGTGGGGTGGTCAGGGTGTGGCTGGAGCTGTGTCCCTCTCCTTAGCCCCTAATATTATAGGACCCTCAGAGCTATAGTCCTTGAATTGATGAGTGGGCTAGGAAACATAACCCTCCTAATGGCAGTAAAGTATTTTAGCTATCATGTAGGGGGTTACAGTTTATGATTAAAAAAAAAAAAAGTTAATGTTTATTTATCTTTGAGAGAGTGCAAGCAGGGGAGGGACAGAGAGAGGGAGACACAGAATCCAAAGCGGGCTCCAGGCTCCGAGCCGTCAGCACAGAGCCCGACGCGGGGCCCGAGCTCACGAATGGCAAGATCGTGACCCGGGCCGAAGTCCGACGTTCAACCGACCCAGCCACCCAGGCGCCCCCAGTTTATGATTTGAATCCTGTAGACCGATCCACAACCTCTCCTCCGAGGCCTTTGGGGTTTGCGATTTTAGACTCCCTCTGATGTCCGGGAGACCCAAGTCTAGAGAGAAAATTAGCACTCGCGTGAAGAAAGAGCCGGCTGTGAAAGCCAACAGAGAACACCGGAAGCAGAATTAGAGCCCCCAGAGCATCTCAGTGGATTGTAACGTAGTTTATGTTTAAAACTGGAAAAAACAAAGGGTAGAATTAAAAAACATGAGCCAGAAGCAAACAGTAGCAAAAAGGACTGTGCAGATTGGAGGAAGAACCAAATGCAGGATTTAGAAAAGTGCTCGGCTTAGTGCCTTGCATCTAGAAGCTTCCTAATTAATAACTGTTAGCTTCTGAAGGAGCCCAGATTTAGGCACGTGATTCTCAACATAAAACTCCTGACTTACCCAATATGCACTGTCTTCATGGAGCCTCCGTTCTAGAAGTATTCCCTAGAGCTTTTGTTCTTTTGGCCTTAAAATGTATTGACTTGGTTGAGATTGGAATCCCAACTTTGAGATGGCTTCGGGCGGCCGTGGTAGCACCTGCCCGCGTGTCGCAGTTTCAGCAGGTCTCAGGGCTGTCCTGTGTCCGAGACATCGCCCTCCACCCGGCTAGTGCCTGGATTCCTGCTGCATAAGGCTTTGTTTCCTGAAACCCCATCGTGTGTGACATCATTTTAGATGCAGATGTTAAAAAATTGTATCGTAGGTCAGAAAAATAATGTCAGGTGTCCTTCATCGTCCCGCAGTGGGAGGAGCCGGGTAGGTGCATAAAACTCTCATAGGAAGATTTATATAAACGAGTGTAGGGGCGCCTGGGTGGCGCAGTCGGTTAAGCGTCCGACTTCAGCCAGGTCACAATCTCGCGGTCCGTGAGTTTGAGCCCCGCGTCAGGCTCTGGGCTGATGGCTCGGAGCCTGGAGCCTGTTTCCGATTCTGTGTCTCCCTCTCTCTCTGCCCCTCCCCCGTTCATGCTCTGTCTCTCTCTGTCCCAAAAATAAATAAACGTTGAAAAAAATAAATAAATAAATAAATGAGTGTATTCTCGCAGCACCTTTGGCCACTTTTCCCCTCCCCCCTCCCCTCCCCCATCATGTTTTGAGTGCCTCCTGATGCCAGGCCTTGTGCTAGCAGGAAGCTTGTGAGGATGACTAAAACATTGTTCCTCCTTCCCGGGGAGTCACATTCCGCTTGACCACCAAGTCTGCCCCTGGGGCCCTTACAAATGCACGGGGATGAATTGAATCTATTGTATGCCTCTTTCTGCAAAACTGTTGATATCTTATGAATTTCTGATGAGTCTGCTTCAGCTTTTGGAGCAGGAAGGTATATGTATTGTGTATATTGCCAAGTATACGGAAACGTGAGCTAGCTAGCTAGATACTGTAGTTTTTCAAGCAATAAATAGGTTAAATAAATCAAGTTAACTTCTCCCTTTGATTAATTCCACCACGGCAAATCTTTCTAGGACGATGTGAGGCATAAGGTTCATCTGAACACCTTTGGATTCTTCAAGGACGGGTACATGGTGGTTAATGTCAGTAGCCTTTCAGTGAATGAACCTGAAGGAGCCACAGACAAGGACACAACCGTAAGTGCCTTCCAGGAGGTCAAGGGCTTTACCCGTTTCTGTTGTGTAGATGAGAGCTTCAGCCCCCCTCCCCCCCACTTAAATATGAAGTATCCCAATGTAGAGAAAATTAAACTTGGGGGATGGGCATCAGATAGTTTTATTTTTTAACACTTAAGTTGTAATTCTTGAATAATTTTTCGTAACTGGGGTTGCTTCTTACAAGATGAATGCTCAGAAGACCAAGAGAAGGCTAGGCCAAAGAATCGCCTTTTCTGCTCCTTGAGTAAGAAAGGTGTGGATGCCAAAGCACTGTGTGGACACTTACCTCTGCCCTTTCCTCCCCCTCTTAGATTGGATTCAGCCTGGACCGTACAAAGAATGACGGGTTTTCTTCCTACCTGGTGAGCATCCCTTGTATGACCCGGTTCCCCTCATCACTTTGAGCCCAAGACGCTGGGTGGGAGCCTCCTGCTTTTGTCAGTGCTGTGTTCCTGGCGGTGGGGGCTGCTTTGACTCGCTGGCATCTCCGAGCACCCACAGCTGTGTGGTCTGGGGCGGAGCACGGGTCACTTGCTTGCCTTGGTCCTGAAAACTTTCTGTTCTTATTCTGACGTGAGTGAATGAGATGATGTACCCCGGGGCTTCCTTTCTCAGGATGAAGATGTGAATTACTGTATTCTAAAAAAAAAGTCCATCTCCGTCACCCTTCTAATCCTAGACATCTCCAGAAGCGAGTAAGTAATTGCAGTGTTGCTTCAGCCCCATCCTAGAGGAGACTTAGGGGGAGTTGGGTAGCTAAGCTGACATTCGCGGAGCGTCTACCAGATACTGGGCCGAAGGCAGGACGTCAAGAACATGATGAGGGGGACAGAGGCGCCGCCCCCGAGAAGCGTGCAGATTAATGACGGAGACCCAACGGCAATACACGTGGTCACAGCAATATAGAGAGGATGTAGGGCGGAGAAACGGGTGACTTAGAGAAGAGGAGGGAAGGCTTCAGGCAACCGTTGGCTCCTTGGCAGGACGGGGTCTGCTGAGCGGGGAGAAGGGAGGGAATGCACGTTCGGCAGGCCACACATAGTGCCCACTGCCCCTCACATGCCCTCCCAGAGTTCCCTTTAACATCTTACTTGGTTTCTTACCCCCTCGCTCCACTTCCCTTGTGCGCCAATTCGTTGAACACATTTTAGACACTAAGGGGGAAAATACGTTCATCAGAGCCGTGTGGTCACTAGGAATGTAAGCTTTGGAGTGAGAATGTCAGGTCCTCGCCCGGCTGCTTCCGGCCTCACCACTCTTGGGCAAGTTATTAACCTCCCCGAGCCCCCATTTCAACAGGTGTACAAAGCAGACAGTAGAATCCACATCAGGGACCTCGTAAGGACTACCTGAGATGATGGGTTTAGACCCCGGGACAGTGTGTAACACAGGGCACTCAAAGGGCCCTAGCATTCCTTTGAACTTGGTTACTTTTCTCTTATTTGAATTTAGGGTGAGAGTAAGATCTCCACCAGACGCTGGTACCCAGCTACCAAAGATCATCTTCAGCAAGGATGAGAAAGTCCTTGGCCAGAGCCAGGAGCCTGGTGTTGACCCTGTTCCAGCGGGCAACCAGACTCAGCAGAAACAAGGTAAACTATAAGGTGGAGAACAGCATTTTCTTTACCACCCTGCTTCGTAGATTCTTCTTTGTCCCCAGGTAAAAACCACACACAGTAATAGCATTATTTTATTTTGGAGGTTGTCCAAAAATAAATAACCCTCAAAGAAAAAGGTGGAAACTGGGGGAAAGGAGAAACAGAACAGTAATTTCTCTGACCTTGTGTTAGAATTTTAGTATTTCTGTTTTCTTTTTCTTCTCTCTCTCTTTTTTTTTTTTTAAGTTTATTTTTGAGAGAGTGAGAGAGAGCCCTTACACAAGTGAGGAAGGGGCAGAGAGAGAGAAAAACCCAAGCAGGCTAGGCACCAGCCCAGAGCCCACTGCCGGGGTTCGAACTCAGGAACTGTGAGATCATGACCTGAGCTGAAGTTAGAGGCTTAACCGACTGAGCCATTCAGGTGCCCCCGTATTTCTGTTTTCTTCTGGGCTGTTTCCTGGGTGGGTCTAGAACATTTGATTTTTATTTCTTGTAAAAATTCTTTTAATGTTTATTCATTTTTGAGAGAGACAGAGTGCAAGCAGGGGAGGGCCAGAGAGAGAGGGAGACACAGAATCTGAAGCAGACTCCAGGCTCTGAGCAGTCGCACAGAGCCCAATGCAGGAGTCGAACCCACGAACCGTGAGATTGTGACCTGAGCCAGAGTCGGAGGCTTAACTGACTGAGCCACCCAGGCGCCCCCGATGTTTAAAAGTCATAGTCATGTTTGTAATTTCCTAAGCATCCCTGTTCACTCAACTTTAAGATAGTTCATTCTTACCAGCCATCCCATTATATGGATACTGTAACTTGCTCAAGCTTTCCCCTTAGGGAGACGTATTTCCATTGTCATGCTATTATAAATATTGCTGCACTGGAGGTTCTTTATTTTAGAACTTTGGTCATTTCTAGAACTTTCTTTAGGATCGGTACTCTGAACTGGAATATTCGCTTCAACGGATAGGAGTACTGAGAGAATATTGGTACTATTTTCAGCTCCTTTCCAAATGAGTTGTATGAATTGATAGTCCTTTTGGAAAATATATAAGAATAGTGCCCACATCACCTTGTCCTAGCCAGGACTGGGATTTTGGTGTACGTTTGTTTGTTTTGGACCCAAAGTAAAAGGCAAAAAGGACTCCTGTTTGGGTATTTACTCTTAACTACTGAGGTTGCACTTTTCCTCCATATGTTGATTAACCAGTTTATATTTATTGCCTCTTTTATTAACTGTCAGGTTTATCTGGTAGTTTAGTTCTTAAAGAGAACTTACTCTTTATTTTTTTTTTAATTTTTTTTTTTTTTCAACGTTTATTTATTTTTGGGACAGAGAGAGACAGAGCATGAACGGGGGAGGGGCAGAGAGAGAGGGAGACACAGAATCGGAAACAGTCTCCAGGCTCTGAGCCGTCAGCCCAGAGCCCGACGCGGGGCTCGAACTCAGGGACCGCGAGATCGTGACCTGGCTGAAGTCGGACGCTTAACCGACTGCGCCACCCAGGCGCCCCGAACTTACTCTTTATTATTGACACTTTTTTTTCTCAGTGTGTCAAAACTCTAATCCCAATTAAAAGACATACAGAAACGTTACCTTTGCGTGATGGTGCAGTTTAGTGTCTGAGTACCATTTCCTCCTCGTGCTGGTTTCTCATGCTCACGTACACATTCGCTGCACGGAAAGTATCCTTTTCCTACTTTTATTTTGAAACTCTCTCCCTATAGCGAGGTTGAGATCCTGTCTTCCCCATGAAGATATCTTAAATAAAAATAAGGCCCTGATACCCTCTCTGTTCCATGAAAGAAGCCATTAGCAATCTTAACACTCCCTTCTGTTGGGAAAAAGCATCAATTATGCTACTGTTATTTGCTATGAATTTTTCCGTATGTGTAAATAGATGTCATACACACACATATACATATATGTGTGTGTGTATATATATACATATGTGCATATGTATACATATACATATACATATGTGTGTGTATACACATATATACATATGTACATATGTACATATGTACATATGCATATGTACGTATACATATATATATGTATATATATACATACACACATATTTTGTTGTTGTTTATTTATTTTGAGAGGGAGAGAGTGTGTGCATGCAGAAACAGGGGAGGGACAGAGAGAGAGGGAGAGAGAGAAGATCCCCAAGCAGGCTCCACGCTGTCAGCACAGAGCCCGATGTGGGGCTCGAACTCAGGAACCATGAGATTGTGACCTAAGCCAAAATCAAGAGTCGGATGTTAACCGACTGAGCCACCCAGGCGCCCCGTGTGTACATATTTTGAAACAATGATCTGTTTTTAAATGTGATTACTTAGAAAATGAGGAAGGTCACTCCGTGTGGCATCTCTGGCAATAACATACACTAGATTATTCAGAGATGAGTTTCCCTGTTGGGACTGAATGTTATCCTTTGTTAGAGAGCATTTATGGGGCGCCTGGGTGGTTCAGTCGGTTAAGCGTCCGACTTCCGCTCAGGTCATGATCTCGCGGTTTGTGAGTTCGAGCTCCGCGTCGGGCTCTGTGCTGACAGCTCAGAGCCTGGAGCCTGCTTTGGATCTTGTGTCTCCCTCTCTCTCTGTCCCTCCCCTACCCGTGCTCTCTCTGTCTCTCAACACTAAATAAACCTTAAAAAAAATTAAAAAGAGAGCATTTATGAGCTCCAATTTGCTGCTTCTGCAATTGAAGAATCGTTTTAGAATCTGAGGAGTTGGCATTCTACAAGATAGCATACGGCCTCACCTTGTTTGTTTGATTTATTTGATACTAGACAAGCTAGAGCCTCATAACGTGATACTGTAATATATCTAAGAGCTGAATCATGCAGTAACATCTTTTAAATGTTTCTGCTTCTAGACGGTGGAAAGTCTAAAAGAAGTACGGTAGATTCCAAGGTAAGAACTGACCACCCACTGCTCAGCTTTTCTGCGTATATTTGTAGCTGTGTGTATATGTGTGTGGCTGTATATGTAAGTGACTGAATGTGGGGATACGAATGTGGGTATGAATGTATAGACATACACATAAGCAGGTACACACAGGTGCGCGTGCCTACTCCACGGGGCGTTGCTCTCTGTCGGGAGAGCTATTACTACACTGGAAGAATAAGCATGACAGGTGCCGGGCCCCGGCCTGTGGGAAATAGAAGGTGTGCCTGGAGCAGAGAGGGGGATCTTAGATAATATAGGTCCAGACAATAGAGGGTGTTTATTGATGCACCCAAAATAGGAAGTCCTCAGGAGTTCTTGGTCAGGAAAGACTGATACAGATGGTGTTTGGGGCAGACGCTGCCCTGCAAGTAACGTGCAGAGGAGCCTGGGAGTGGGGGAGAGTGGAATGAGGAGGACCCGGAAGAGCGCCCGCTGTGAAAACACACGGTGCCCTGACAGCGTCGTGAGGGTCTGCAACCAGAGCAGAGCCTTGGGATGGGAAGTAAGGGCTGGGGGCGAGGCAGGGGAGGGAGGTGTTTATCTTCTACTGTTTGCAGTAGACGAAGAGGTGGTAGAAATCGCAGAAGGAAAAATCGGCAACGTTTGGGTTTGGGGTATCTTGAATTTTCAGCGAGGGGGCACCCAGACGGCAGCACTGCGTCGGAACCGATGCGTTGAAGGGTAATCGTCATGCGGTTAAGTGCGCACTTTGAACAGTTTCGCCCTAAGCGTCCACCTGTGAACCCGCCACCACGATCGAGACCGTGCACCCATTCACGGTCCTGCAGGTTCCTCCTCCCACCCCCGGCAACCACCGGTCCGCCTCTGCAGATCAGTGACGCAGAGCTTTGTAGAAGTGCCTTATGCAGCATGCGCCCCGGTTGTCGTCTTTGACTCCGCGTGACCGTTTTGAGTTCGGCCATGTTGTTGGCTGTATCCGGAGTCCCTTCCTTTCCATTGCTGAGAACTTGTCGGTTGCGCCGATGGCAGTAGGCCGGTGGTTTGAAATCGGGAATGGCGTCCAGGCGGTGTGTCGGGGTGTGACCTGGGCAGGCATCCGTAGTCTTGCTGAAGCCGTAAGAGCAGAGATGTGCTCCGGGGTGGGGGTGGGGGGAGATCGGGAGGGCGGGGGCAGGGAACAGGGGGTTATCGGGGAGGCAGAAGAGACCGCAGAGAGTAGGAAGTAGGTGAGGAGGAATCCCCATTCTCTGGGAAAGGGGATCTCAGACCTCTCCAAAGGATGGTGAATTTTATTTTCAGAGAGCTTTTGAAGGTCAGCCAGCTCAGGATTTTTTTAAAAAGGATGTGTTTTTGGTTTCGTTTTTCCATTTCCATTTTTATGAGCATACATTTTTTGCCAGTGTCCTCCTAAAACAGGCGATTGTGTTTTGTTTTTTGTTTTTTAGGCCACGGGAGAAAAATCCTTTTCTGTTCACAATAGCGATGGGGCAGTTTCTTTTCAGGTATGTATTCTCTTGGAGTCATCTCCGTAGGATTTATCCCTACAGCGTAAATGGGTGAATTTGTGAAGGAAGTTTGAGTTTAGGAACGATAGTTTAGGCATGCTACACATCGGTCACTCGAACGCGGTCGCTCTTTCCCTGGCAGACCTACAAGGTGGACACGGTTACACACCGCTTACCAGATCATGTCTCTGAGAATGAGCCACTTTGTGAATGTCCAGCGTGAGTGACAAGGTCCAGATTCCAGCCCACGTCTGCCCAGCTGTCCCCACACCTCTGCCTCTTTAATCCCGTGCTGCCCCCTATTCAGAGTGTTCTAGAAGCACAGAATTCTGTACCTAGGAAGACCTGTGGCAATCATTGACGATGCCGGTAGGATTTGAGAGATGAATTCACCGGGGCCCCTAGGCCTTGAGTGACCGGCCCAGCTGGTCCCGCTGTTCGGTGCACGAGAGCACGTGTGGCAGCCTTACAGCCTTGGATGGGGTCCAGCGCCCACTTACTAGGTGGTGACCTCAGACAACTCAGTTAACTCCCGAATCTTGCTCTCCAGTCATCTGAAAGTGAAACATGATGGAACCTAGCTCATAGAGTTCTTGTAAGTGTCATTTTTAAAGATATAAAAGTGCTTTGTGAAACACTATACAAATAATCTTTTATCGTGGATTTGTAAGAATCGCTGTCTCTTTTCTAAGCAGTTTTCATTAATTGAGGTCTGATTTGCTTCGAGTGAAACGCACAGGGCTTACACACACAATTTGATCAGTTTTGGCAAAGGCACGCACCCATGTAACCCACTCTCTATTGAGATTTCCGGTATTTTTATCACCTCAGCGCCCCCCATCCCTGCATCCACTGTCCTGATTTCTTTCAGCCTAGATCATTTTGCCTCTCTAAACAATTTTATATGTTCTTTAAATTTAGTACCCCCAGGTTTTAGTAGCTAATTGAGAGCCCGTGGACGCTCGTCTGCTCAGAACCCTTGGCGGCTTCCCATCTGCCTCAGAGCAAAAGCCTCGAGCCCTTCCCGGTCTGCAAGGCCACGTGGTCTGGCTGCCTCTGGCTGCCCTCTTGTCTGTGACCTCGGCTTCTGTTTTCTGCTCCAGCCGCGGAAGCCACCTTGCTGCTCCCTCCCAGAACCCATCAGGCCTGAGCCTCTGCTGTGGCTGTGCCCCCTAGTGGGAATGCTTGTCCCTCACAATGCACATGATTAATTTCTTCCTCTTTCAAGCCTTTGCTCGAATACCATCATCTCGTCAAAGCTTCCTCCGTTCGCCCTGTTTTAAATGCAGCTCCCTTCCTTCCCCCGTCCCTACAGGCTTCCCCTTCACACTTTTCCTTTTTCCAACCTGCTGTGTACTCTGCTTATTTATTATGCGGATGTTCTGTCGCTCCCCTTAGAAGGTAGCCATAAGGGAGAGGTTTTTTTAAATGTTTTATTACTGATGTATGTAAAGTCCCTAACCTTGGGCCCGGCCCATAATAGGCTGTGTCCATTAGTAATCACGGAGCCGAGTAACTGGGTGCCAGGCGTTGCGCTGAGTACTTACACGTTGTCGTTACCCCAGTGCATCCTTCCAGCACCTCTGTGAGGTAGGCACTGCTATCATTCCCCTTTTACAGATGAGGAGACTGAGGCTCAGAGAGGTTAAGTAACTTGTCCAAGGGGAGGATTCAAACCCAAGTTTGTCGGACTCCAAGGCCCATGTGTTTAACCACCTTGTTCACTGCCTCCTTAAGAAAATGCAAAAGGTAGTTTCCTTCTTCCCTTCTCTCATTTTAAAATGCTTGCTAATACAGTAAGCTTTTTGAAGTTTCTCTAAACCGTTTCTTTAAAAATCACCAAGGAAAGAAAACGTGGTGGGATTTACACATTTGTCACTTACTGGCGCTCTGTGTCAGGGTGAGTGTCGTGGGGAAGCAGCTTGTGTGATGGTTAAGAACGTTGAGATAACCAGTTTGCAGGGTTCTCAGGGTGCATGCGACAGGCAGTGGATGGCCAGTCTGCCTTCTCTCTGGCTTCCCTTCTCATAAAGAGGTCGGTACATGACCCCTTGCCTTGCTGTTCGCTAATTTTGGACAAGGCAGTCACCGTGAGCCTTTCTACCCCATCCACGGAGCAGGGATGATAGTTCATGTGCCTAAAGCAGGGAGGGGACCGTTAGGCCTTATTCCTACTCTAGAATATACATTCGTGTTTGATTTTGTTTGCCGGTCAGGTGCCTCCTGGGATCGGCCATGATATTTCTGCTGACTTTTTTAGAAATTTCTATTTCTTAGAATCTTCATGGGCATCTTACTTTTGGAACTAAAAGTTACCAAGACGTTAAGAGTTTTCTGGCTACCTTGTGTGGACTAAGACATACGCTCTGACGTTGACAGCTGAGCTTGGGAGATGATTTAACAAAGGAATAATTCCAGCTTCAATACCTTCGGTCTCTTATTTCCGCCTTCTCGTCAGATACCTGTTTTTTTCCCTATCCTGTCTAAGTGGACCTTTGTAACCATCAGCGGGGGCCAGAAATAGAACAGTGCCAGCACCCCAGAAACCCCGTGTGACCTTCACATCCCTTCCCAACTGTTATGAGAGATGTCATAGCCCCGTCAGTTCCTCGCTTCTCCTTACGGTTTATCGTGCATCTGTGTAGCCCTCAGGAACCTATCTTAGGCTTGTAGCAAAATGCTTTTGACCAAGGAGTCGTATTTTCTAATCTTATCTACAAAATGTCTTTGGATTTACGTTAAACTCCGTTTGAACACCTGAAACATGCAAGAAACAGGAAAGTGTGCAAATGTAGAAAATATGGCCTGTGTCCCTGTTGTCTGAAATCACAGGTATACATTTTAACGAGGGAGTGTTGGTCCTCTGCCTTTTCAAGTAGCAGGCGGGCCTCCTTCCTTTTTCGGGAGTTTTTTGTTTGTTTTTGTTTTTGTTTTTGTTTTTAACCTAAAAGAGCAAGGCGACGTGTTGACTGAAAAGTAGGTACCTGCATCGTAGGTCATCCCTGCGGCCCCCAGCCACACCTCCCACAGCTGGGGAGTCTGTGACAAAACCAGGGTGGTAGGGAGTGGACCGTAGACCCCAGGTAGTGGGCATGCGGGTACTCGCCAGCCACTTCCGTCCCCTTTCCTGTCGCCTGGACAGAGACCCAATCGCAGAGGAGGAAAACACCTGTTTGGTCTCTGCCCTGGGGGAATTCGGTTAGGTCATTCGTCTGTCTGTATTTGTTTCCGCCCTTAGCATCCCTGATTTCTTCCTAAGATTTAAACACGTCGCCGGCGATCTGGCATTCTGAAATCTTTGTCCTCTCCACTTACAGTTTTTCTTTAACATCAGCACCGATGACCAAGAAGGCCTCTACAGTCTTTATTTTCACAAATGCTCCGGGAACGAATTGCGGTCTAGCGACGAGCTTTCCTTCAGCCTTGATGTGAGTACTGCGTGTGGATTTTGTCAGCCCCGTAAAACGTGAGGCGTTTGTTTCTTTGTAAGAGTGGGTTTTAACAACCCTTAAAACGGAGTCGGAGAAAAAAATGGCCGGAATCTCACCTCTGCAGAGGATTCCTAAGCTAGAAAATACAAAGCAGTTTGGGGTGTTTTTACACTTTGCGCTGTGCGTTAGGAGTGTGGCTATCTGCCGGTACTTTCTTCGGCCCGAGTGAAGCAGCTAAGGCAACCGACTGCTGGCTGTGGGGTGATCTGTTCTTGAAAAAGAAAAAATTAATCTCACGTTCGTTGCAGATTGAGATCACAGAGAAGAACCCTGACAGCTACCTCTCGGCAGGAGAGATCCCTCTCCCTAAATTATACATCTCTATGGCCTTTTTCTTTTTCCTTTCTGGGACCATCTGGATTCACATCCTTCGAAAACGACGGTAAATTGTTCCTTCCTTGAGCCATCCAGCTTGGAGTATGTTGAGATGTGTATAATTTCACCTTTTGCTGGCTTCTGTGCCTGGGGGGCATTGGCTCTAGCAACCCTGCCCTCTTCAAAGGGCATCTTCCCTGAAACAGGGAGACTTTGCAGTGTGTGGGGGGGCTTGGCATGCCGTGGTGTTTTCTTCCCTTTGCTTTGTTTATTTCTTTATGTTTAAGATTTGTTTTTAACATTTTTATTTATTTTTGAGAGAGACAGAGCATGAGCAGGGGACGGGAAGAGAGAGAGGGAGACACAGAATCTGAAGCAGGCTCCAGGTTCTGAGCTGTCGGCACAGAGCCCGACGTGGGGCTCAAAGCCACAAACCGTGATCTGTTGTTCTGAGCCGAAGTGGGACACCGAACTGACTGAGCCACCCAGGCGCCCCCCCCCCTCCCTCTTTGCTTTGTTTAAACAGCAGATCCAAGTATTTTGATGATTCAGGGGCTGTTTGTTCATGAGGAGGAGGAGAGTGACAGGGAGCCACAGCCTGGCTGAGAGCGTAGCATTACTGCCCGGTGCTCGATATTGCCCGTCTACCGGGCAGAGGTGTTGGCTTCCAGAGACTTGTCACTGGAGGAAAAACTTCAAAGCCCACCTGCCCGGCTCTTGGCCTCTCTTCTGAAACCCGAAGGCTTTATCTGCCTGTACTCGGTTATTGAAGGGAGCAGCTGCACGTGTGTGTGGGACCAGCGTTTAATTCTGTCTCCTTTCCCCCAAAAAACAGAATAAAATACTACTTTTCAGTTGGAGAACAGTGTGAGCATTTGTTACATAAGATCTGTAAACTAAGTAAAGGGCGGTACATGCATAGGGCACTGTAACGTGGCGTCATTTAAATTCATAAGATAATTAGGCATCCCAAATACGGAGTACCTCTTTCTGTGGAGCATTGGGCAGAAATCGAGACCTCTTCGGTCCCCGGGGGCCTGTCTTCTGGCAGACATGCTCAGCTGGGGTAGCGAGCTCAGGCCAGGGCAGTGCAGGCTCCGGTTTGTTTTAAGATTTGGATTGATGGAAAGAGCCACTCGTCTACTTGTGAAGGACCGTGCATGGTTGTGTTTGGGGTAATCAGGTGGCCATTCATAAGAAAACAAGAATCTTAACCAATTCAGGCTATAAAAAGGTTTTCCAGTGAAGTGTTGATTCTTCCTTTATTAGAAAAATCAGAACTGGGACTCAGAGACCCAATTCCAGGTGTAAACACGGACCGCTCCCACGTCTGTGTCTCGCTTCACTCCTTGGGCCACAAAACAGGGGCGGGGTCATCGCCCTGCCTTCCTCTGAGTGTCTTAGAACCTTAGGTGTGTTGTGTGATTCCCCCGCCTTCCCCCCAAATCCTGTGCGCCAGAGGACTTTGCAAATCAGGGCACTATGCAAATGCGAGGTGCGTACGAAACACCTGAGCAGACAGGTGCTCGGGGGTATTTCAGTTTCTGTTTATTTAGCGATGAGACCGTCCCTCTCGCTGGTCCGCTTACGTGAGATGACGGTGAGTTTTAACTCTGTGGCCAGAAGAGGCGCACCTGCTGCACGCAGCACGTGTGTAGTTCACGGCACTTCGCGTGGAAGGGGAGGACAGACAGCCGCTCGCTTTCCAGTGCCTGCTCCCTGCCCAGTCCAGCGCCGGATGCGGGCTCTGTCCGCTCACCTTCCACCTCCTGGAGGTGGGCGATGCCCCACCTTCAGCAGAGGTTACTGGGGGCCGAGAGGGGTGAAGGTTGGCAGGGTAGAACCCGTGTTCTTGCCAAGTTACCGGGGCTCTCTTTCGAGCCTCTTCTCCCTCCCGTGTCATCACCGCCCCGGCCGCTGGCGCTTCGAGCAGGATTGCAGGTTGGGGGGGCCGGGGTGTGTGAGCGAGCCGTCTCGGCAGCGGGCGGTTCTGCGCTCTGGGTAGATGTCGTCGCCACTCTGGCCTTGACTTCCTTTTTGACCTTGGAGTAGGTAGGCGTCGGAAGGGAAAGGACCAGGGGGAAATCGGCCGGAAAGGGAGCGGGCGTCAGTTTGTGACACACCCTCCCTATCGGTCTGTGCCAGGCCCCTGTTCTTCATTTCCCCTTCGTCCCGACCCCCAACCCCTCTCTCGGTCCTTCCCAGCTGCTCCGGAGCACGTGATGTGTGTTGTTGGGCGTGGGTGTGTTTACTCTTCCTGCGTATGTTTGTGACTTTCGTAAACCATGCCAGCTCTAGATTGCTGTCCGTGCCACTTGTCACGCAGTAGTAGCTGTGTCAAGGCCTAGTCACACTGCCGTGTGTCCATCCGGTTCATTCAGTTTTGGCTACCCCATAGTGCGCATCCCCACGTTTTACTCACCCATCGCTTTGGTGAGGGACCCCTCCCTCGGCCTCCCCCCCCGCCCCGGTCCCCCCGACCGTGTTGTCATGACCTCCCACCCCCTCCCTGGCCTATCCCCTTATGACTCCGTGCAGCCTCTGAGGTGCGCTCCCAGAAAGAGGTGCACTGGGCAGGGGGTAAAGTCTTCCTTAATTTCATTAAGCGCCCACCACCAGGTGGCCCGTACCAGCTTCTGCTCCTGCCAGGGGTGCAAAGGGTTCCTGTTTCTCCAGACACCACCGGCATCTTATTTTTGGGTATAAACTGGTGCTTCGTTCTGTTTTGCATTTCTCTGACCACTAGTGACGCGAAATCTCCTTCCGGGGCCTTGTTAACCGTCTGGGTTCCCCTCCTTGTGACCGCCTCTGTGCTTTGCACAGAGTTTTCTTTGGGTTTTCTGTCATTTTCTTGTCACTTTACATGAGTTTCTTGCATAGTTTGGACATCGATCCTTTGTCTGTTCCAGACATGGCAAATTTCTTCCCCCGGTCTATTAAACTTACCTGTGGTATTCGTTGTTGAACGGAAGTCTTTCATATTAACAGAGTCAAAGATATCTAATCTTGGGCGGGGCTTCTCGGAAGAAGCCTTTTCCTACTCCAGGGTCACAAAGGATGTAAGTTATGTTTGGCGCTGAAATCCATCTGGAGTCCTTCTTTATGTAAATGTGAAGTGGGGACACAGCTGCGCACACACACGCACACGCACACGCACACACACACACAGGATTGGGTGGATTTTCCCCATGCCAGTTATTAAATGGCCCGTCCTTCTCCAGCCGGTTGGCTGCCCCTCGTCTGTCGTAGGCCAAGCCTCCATACACGCAGGAATCCATTTCCAAGCTCTCGGTTCTGTTGGCTTATTTGTCGGACGCTGTACCCCTTCCACACTTTTTGCTGCTGTGGCTTCGCAGAATGTCTTGATGTCTGAGAGTGTGACTTTCCTCCGTAGCTCTTATTCAAGTCTCGATGTACTTTCATAGTTTTAAATCTGTCTCCGGAGGCGTCTTGTGTCCCATTAGGTTAGTTCCCAGGGTGAGGTCGGAAAGGGTCGAGGAATTGAATGGCTGGCAGCCCGAAGGTGGGCGAGTACCTGTGTAGGCCTGGTGGTGGGAGTGGGCGCTTCTCCCCACTGGCCGGTCCCAGCCCTGAGGGAGAGGGGACGGGGCACCACCCCGGGGCTCTCCCTTCCGCCCTGCCCCCCCTCCAGGCCGGGCCGCAGCCCGCCCCTACAGCTGCGCCCGCGCCCCTTCTGCTCTCCCAGGGAGAGCTCTCGCCAGTTCCGTAGATCCCGCCGCCTCGTTCTCGCCTCTGTGGCCTTTCCAGGGTGGTTTCTGGGCACGAGGCTGGCCAGCTGTGTGGATTTCCATCTTCTCGGGAACTGGAACTCGTCCTGTCTGGCTTCAGTGCCTGACGCTGCTGCAGTCACAACAGAGACCTGTGGCCTTGGTACCTGATGCTGCTGTGGTCACGGCACAGACTTGTGCGCGAGAGGCGACTCTGGGGCCCCGTCGGGTCTGTTTCTGCTGGTGGAAACTAGGTCTCAAAAAAGGCTTCGTGTTTCTGGTTTGCTTAGGTTGTATTTACTGCTTCCTTGTAAATGTATCTGATGACTGTCTTTTAATTCTTTCTTTTCTGTTTTTATAGGAATGACGTATTTAAAATTCACTGGTTGATGGCAGCCCTTCCTTTCACCAAGTCTCTTTCCCTGGTGTTCCACGCGGTATGTATTAATATTTCGGGTCATTTATGAAATGATGTGCCTCTAATCAGGAAAAATGAGTTAGAAGGAAGGGGGGGAAACAGTAGATTAAAGAAGTCCTTTTGTCACGGAGCCTCCTTTGGTACGGGAGGGACCATCACAGGGATGAGTCATTACACCCTCCCTGACCTGGACCGAGACCTCTTCTAATACTGCCTACGTTCCCAGAGTTTTCCTAGAACGCTTCCTTGCTTCCTTGCTTTTATTCCCCCCCCTTTTTTTTAAGTCCTTTCTTGGGATTAGAGTGCCACCTGCTGAATTGTTTCCGCGATTTTACTTTTCTAAACATCTTTCCCATTTGATTTGAAGCCCAGTGTTAGCATACTTCCTCAGGGGGAAGTGATGCCCTAAATATTGAGGCGTGTGAATCGAGCTCGCACTTTGCCTAGTTAGTCCAGGTGCGAGCTGAAGTGAGCCTGCCTGAGGGAGGAGTGCCACAGCCTGCCGTGTTTCTAGGCCCGTGAAGCTCCTGCGGCTGCGCCTCTGAGGGCGACAGCATCCAGACATGCGCTCTCCTGCAATTACAAGGGTTGTCGTAGGTGTCGTGATGTGTTCACTTACAGTCTCTAGAAATGACAGTCGTTTGGATAATTTCCCATTTGGATCTGAGTTAAAAGACTTTCTGGGACACCTGGGGGGCTTAGCCGGTGAAGCGTCCGACTTCAGCTCAGGTCATGATCTCATGGTTTGTGAGTTTGAGCCCCGCGTCGGACTCTGTGCTGACAGCTCGCGGCCTGGAGCCTGCTTGGGATTCTGTGTCTCCTTCTCTCTCTGCCCCTCTCCCGCTCGTGCTCTGTCTCTCTCTCTCTCTCTCTGTCTCTCTCAAAAGTAAACGTTAAATTTAAAAAATTCTTTCTGGAACCTTCTAGATGATGAATGGCAGGATCCTTGAGTCACTTTAGTATCTAAGTAGCCATTTGTGATAGAATGAAGAAATTGCTGTCAGCATTTGTGAGTTGTGCCAGGAAGCATTTTGGGTGTGCTTCTGAAACCTGCCACTTTATTTACTTAAAAAAAAAAAATTTGGGGGGCGCCTGGGTGGCTCAGTCGGTTAAACGTCCGACTTCGGCTCAGGTCACGATCTCGCGGTCCGTGAGTTCGAGCCCCGCATCGGGCTCTGGGCTGATGGCTCAGAGCCTGGAGGCTGCTTCCGATTCTGTGTCTTCCTCTCTCTCTGACCCTCCCCCGTTCATGCTCTGTCTCCCTCTGTCTCAAAAATAAATAAAATGTTAAAAAAAAAATTTTTTTTAATGTCATTTATTTTTAAGAGAGAGAAAGCAGGCACATGCCAGCTGGGAAGGGGGCAGAGAGAGAGAGGGAGAATCCTAAGAATTGCTAACAGTGCAGAGCCCGACTCGGGGCTCAGTCTCGCGAACCCGTGAGATCATAACCTGAGCTGAAAGCAAGAGTCGGTTGCTGAACCGACTGAGCCCCGCCCCGCAGGCGTCTCTGAAACTTGCCACCTCAATTAACATACATTGGTGGTTTTAAGTAGCTCTAAATTCACAGATTTCTTCAAAACAAAAACAGTTGAACCTAGATAATTCCACATGGCTTTTTTTTTTGCTGACCGACTGACTGACGTATGGAATAAGCAGCTGGGGTAGGCAAGGGGAAGTTCTCAGCTGGGATCCCATAAAAACCTGTGGCCTTTGGGCAGTGGAGATTTTAAAGACCAGAATAGGCAGCCATTTGCCCCTGGTGAATCCCCTGCCCCAGAAGAGGGACCTGGCCTGCGTGTTGGCGTTGAAACCTCGTGGCTGGTTTCTCATGCTTCCTGACGTTCCTATCCTTAACTGTGGATAGACAAGTGAGGGAGCAGGGCGTGGGGTGGAGGGGGCATCCCCCGTCGTGAGGTCCTGTGGTGGCATTTCCTGTTTCACTGTGCACACGAAGACGCGTGGTAGGTGGACCTTTCTGAAAGACACTTCTCTGGTTGCAGATCGACTACCATTACATCTCCTCCCAGGGCTTTCCGATCGAGGGTTGGGCTGTCGTGTACTACATCACTCACCTGTAAGTACGCAGAGGGACTCGTGAACCCTTGTCGCGTGAGATGATGCGCAGGAGAAGTTGGGGAGGCCGTGGGAGCAAGAGCCCTGCCCTCCCGTGGCAGCCTCTCTGGGTTCCTGCCGCGCCAGGGGTGTGTGGCACGCGGGTGGCTGTGCAGACGACAGCCCAGGGCCGCTGGCCTGCTCCCGGGAGGGGGCTGCCTCCATGGGGGGATGGGCTGCTCAGGTAGTGGGGTGCACAGCGAACTCGAGGTGTCTCCTGAAGTTGGCTGCCTCTCTTTTCCGAGACACGCACGCAGTCGCGAACGAGCTATGCGGCGGAACCGGCAGAGAAAGTCTGGAGAGACCGTTGGCATCTGAAATGCTTTCTTTTCCAGTTTGAAGGGGGCACTGCTGTTCATCACCATCGCGCTCATCGGCACCGGCTGGGCTTTCATTAAGCACATCCTCTCCGACAAAGACAAGAAGATCTTCATGATCGTCATCCCGCTGCAGGTAAAGGGACCCGAGTCCCGCGTGTCCTGGCGGTGTCCCGGCGCTTCTCAGGGCTCAGCTCCCGGCCTGTCCGGGAAGAGGGCGTCGGCTCACCCAGAACCGCAGCTCGTGCCCCTGGGGTTTCTCCCTCTGCCGTCTGGCCGACCCGGGCCTCGGGTCGTTGCCCCGAGAGCTGTCCGCCGTCACTCAGCTGGCGAGCGGTGTGTGGACGCCTGTGCCTTGAGTAGGGAGGGGCTGGGAAGTCCGGGAAGCTGCCGCCTGCCTTCCTGCGCCAGGCTCCCCTCTGACAGAATGGTCCTCTTAGCCTTGCCCAGGCACACAGTGATTTTATTAACAGGTGATTTTAAAACCGCGAACGACACCGGTGAGGCTTCCCAAGGTAGAATACTAAGCGGACCTCAGGACAGCTGTTCATCAAGCCCTTCCTGGTTCAGGACCCTGGGCTGAGGCCCGCCTTCCCCGGTCCTGAGCCCCTGGGGACAGGAACCTTGTCGCCTGCGTAACAGTCTTATTGGAGGCAGACACTGGGCTTGGAGAACTCACGAGAAGCAGAGAGGGCCTGGCAGGGGTGCAGGACTGCTCTGCTCGACCGAGGAGCGTGGGTTTGGTGAAACTGTTCTCGGCCGCCCTCCCTGGGGAGCACAGTGTGGGTGTGGCGGGCGAGGGGAGGGCGGGCACCTCCCTGGGCCCCCAGGTCTGCCTCCTCACCCCGGCGACTGGTGCTCTGGCAGCATTTGCCCCAGAGCCACCTCCACGTTGATGACGCGGGACCTGTGTTAGCGCCAGATGAATGGTGCAGACCAGTTGCTGTAGATTTCCCAGGAGAGACTCATCACCCGAATCGGAACGATCTGGAAGGCTGCAAGGTAGAGAAGGGCCTTGCCTAGACATTTAAGGAAAAACCTGTGGCCGGCAGAAGAGGAGCAGTGGACGCGGGTGGTCTGTTGCCGAGTGAACAGAGAGGCTGAGGATCTGTGTGGGTCTCGGCTGTGGAGCTCCCAGGGCCACCTCGCCGGCCCCGGGCCAAGTTCTACGGCCTGCCAGAGCCTCTGAGCTCGTGAGGGAGGGCCTGGGGCCTTTTCCCCCAAGCGCCGCAAATGCCCCCCCCCAGCCAGTCTCCCCCCACCCCCGGACTCCATCCCTCCAGGCGAATCTCGTATCCTCACCCCACCCAAGCTGGGATGTGACGGGGCGCGGCCTTCTGGCTTTCGCACCCCCAAGGGAGCTGAACACGAGGTTACATGGCCGGCCCTTCTGAGGAAACGGCATTTAAAGAATTGAATATAGGGAAGTTAGGCATCGATAAGCCCAGGGGCCAGCCTGGGAAGGCTTTGGACGGCAGCCGGAAAGTAAAACTATTCCTTCGTGGCCACGGGGAGCCGGTGCACAGCTCTGAGCGAGAAGGGAGAGGTGCACAAAATGTACGCACAGACCTTGAAGGACATTTTTGGCATTTCGTGCCACACCAGGGAACGTTCTGTCGCATGTCAAGAGCATCAGCTGAGGACGGAGGGGAGTTAGGGATTTAAGGTGAGAAAGCCTTTGTTTCCAGTTTGTCTTCAGAGGTGGAGTCCCACGTGCAGGCACGCAGGATAGAGGAAGGCCCGAATTTCAGAGTAATTTTTGCATTCATACCAAGTAAAGTGTGGCTTCTGCGATCATTTCACTGAAAGCTTCTAGATAGGAAAACCTTACTTTGAGGTGTCCCGAATAGTAGCGTGACAGATTTTGCACTCTTTGTCAAAGTGTGCAGGGTGACCTTTACAGCAGGCGAGCACAGTGTTTGGGACAGAGGACTTGTGATCTGTGCATCCACACCTACCGGAAATCTCCCAGAGAGCATCTCCTAGGTTCTGCAGAGTACTGCCTGCCGTCCCAGTGTAGCCAGGCCCTGGGGCCTCTCGCAGCACACTCGTGCCGGGACTGAACCCCCAGGGCCAAGTGGATCGGCACACGGTCGCAGGTGCACCTCAGGGGGAAGAACTGAGCCATGTCCCATGTGGAGGGGACCTGGGCGGGGTTACTTCTAAGGAAGAGCAGCGTGGCCTCTCAGGCACTGGGCCCAAACCTGCCATTCTCCGCCCTGGTCTCTCATAACACCCTCTGGTACTTAAAAGCCTGTCTCTGCGAAGCGGCAGCAGCTGACCGGGGAGAACCCGGGGCCTGAGGAAACCGGGCGTCGTGGCTGAGTGCGGTGCCACCCGTTCAGGCCACCGCCTGGCCCTGCTGAGGCCCCGGAGGCCTGAAAAGCAAAGCAGAGGGTCCCTGTGGTCTGTGCTGTGTCGCAAATCCCCCCAAACACGGTGGCGATAAGCATGTATTCTCTTCGCGTTCGGTGGGGGTCAGGAACTGAGGCGTGGCGGGTCTGACGGGGGCCCTCGTGCAGTGAGTGAGACCGTGGCTGGGGTCACCTCAGTCTTCACCTGCCTCTCCTGGGTGGGGAAGACTCGCTCAGGCGGGGCGAGAACAGCAGGGGCTCCTCCGCCTTTTTTCCTCTGCCTGGTCTCTCCACGTTGGCAGCCTCCGGGTTGCCAGAGACCGACTTCCCCCGAGAGGGCCAGCCAGAGGCGGCGTCCTCTGTACGACCTACCTCGGAAATCACATGGCCTCACTCGCGCCTGACTGTCGCTCAGGGCAGTCGCACGTCCAGGAGGAGGGCACAGACACGGCTCCTGGATGGGAGAGTGGAGTGTTCTGAAAAGCATGTAGCCCTGGAGAGAATGCCGTGGCCGTGGTCGGGGGCCCGCAAGCCCGAGTGCCCACCCCACCTTGGGGCCGCTGTTGTGGAGGCCTGCCCTTGCCTTAGGGCCTCAGCGACTTCTCGTGTCCGTAGGTTCTGGCAAACGTGGCCTACATCATCATAGAGTCCACCGAGGAGGGAACGACGGAGTATGGCCTGTGGAAGGATTCTCTGTTTCTGGTAGACCTGCTGTGCTGTGGGGCCATCCTCTTCCCCGTGGTGTGGTGAGTACCCGCAGGAAGGTGGGGGGCCGCGGTGCACCCCGAGGCTCGTGCATCCGACGAGTCCAGACCCCCGAATCAGCCGTTCCCAAACCAGTCCGAACCACACGGGGCATCGGTTTAGCAAATGAGCTTCCTGGGTCCTCAGGCGGACCTGAATCCGCCTCCAGGAGCAGGAGCCTGGAATTCGGGTCTTGATCTTGTCCCTCCGTGGATTCCGATACAGCTGATCTGGCACCTTGGCTTTTCGCACAGCTTAGATCATAGAGAAGGGTCTGGAAATGAGAACTCAGGGGCGACATAACGGCAGCACGAATTTGGAGGGAGGAGAGTTGAAGAAATCCTGTAAACAGCTTTCTTGCCAGGTAGGCGGAAGGTGAGGAAGTGCGTTAACATAAACCAGCGAGAGTTCCCAACATGTTCCCAGGTCAGAGGTCTTCAGAATGGCGGGCTTCAGACGCACGTGTTGCGCTTTGATTATGTGTGAAGAAATGTTAGTGCCAGTGGTTGTTGAGAGAAGATATCCTCGTTAAATCTTAATGCCACGTGAAGGAAATTACCGGTTCGGTAGGAAGCAAGGAGAGGAGAAAAGGCTAGCAAAGATTAAACACCCTTACAGCGATCTAGGTCCGCGGCTGTTTGAAAGCGGTTACTCCTTTTGGAATAAAGTCTTAAAAAGTGGACTTACCTGTGTTGTGTTAACGGTAAAGTCCACGCTGCAGTAAACTCCTATTTTTCAAGATCCTGGGGCTTACCAGCTTATTCTGTCACTCCGATTACTTAGAATATGGTACCAGCGGAGGGTAATCCTCATTCCAGCCGGTTAGACTCACTCTTGACCCTTATTCCATCGTACGTGACACGTTGTGCATACATCAGTGTAGCCGGCAGCTTCCAGAAGATGGGGGAGTCTCCCCGATCTCCCCCACCTCCCTGCGTCGTGCCCGGGACCAGGTAGCCCAGGCATCCGTAGCAGGATGACCAGCACCGTCTTCGGGTAGAAAGAAGCGTCTTTCTGTCCGGAACAGAGTGCAAGCCCTGCTCTTCGTCTGCCGCCTTCGGCGGAAAGAAAGGACCTGGAGGTTTGGGGAAGACGCAGGGGAGCGATAGGGCTGCAGGTGGTCATTTCCCTCGCCTCCTTCGTTGTAGCACGAAGGGGCAGACGTCACACGGCGATGCCCTCGAGAGTGCATCTTCTGAAAGTTGCCGTAAACGAAAAGCATCGAGCACTAGAGGTAGCTTCAGGAGCGGCACCGATGACTTTGGAGCTGGCTTTGTGCTGGCTCACTTTTGAGTGGTGTGCCATTCAGATCTCCCAGGTGGGCAGGTGAGGGGGCGGGCGCGGGGGTCTCAGGAGAAAGCCCTTAGCCGGGGTCAGGTGGAGGGTGGGTGGCCCCATCTGTGAGCCCCCCCCGCCCCCCCCCGGCTGTCCTCATCCTTTGGAGACAGACCTTCCCGTAGCGCCTTTAATAATGTTCGTGTTCCCCTGTCTGAACAGCGATGATGGTAATTAGTTACCCGGCACATCGCAGCAGGAGAAGAGGCTCCCTGGAGGCTGCCACTTGGCAGCAGAATTCCAGACAGTGAAATACTGAGTTTGCAGGAAGCCATGTGCTCACAGGCTCCAAGACCTAGACCTGAGAAATCAGCCTCCGGCCTCCGTGTGCGGGGGTCCATGTTCTGTGGGCAGCAGGTGCGCTCCAGTGCGGTGTCAGGGAGTGGGGGTAGTTGGGGAAGTGAGAGATTTTAGGTGGAGAGAGAGGTCAAGAGCGTCGAAATGATGGCATTTTGCTTTTTCTCCTCACACCCAGGCCCCTGGCAGACCTTTCTCAGCCATTAGAGGGCGTCCTTAACGCTCGGGCTTGAGTACCGTACGCGGCCAGGTGCTGGATGTAGAGGTCACGTTGATTCGGGAGAGTGCTCCGAAACCATCTAGTCCAGCCCGTCAGCTTATGACTGAGGAATTCAGGACCTTGAGTTACTAGTGTTGGAAACACAGAAGAGTGCAGATTGGTGTGAGCTAACCTTTTGTTCTCCAAATGTTCATTTTTAGGTCAATCAGGCATTTACAAGAAGCGTCAGCCACAGATGGAAAAGGCAAGTTTCCTTGTGCCCCTTTGTGCTGCTGGGCCTTCCCTGAAGCCCCTGCCCGGGCGCTCCCGGGAGGTGGAGGGGCCGCTGTCTCTTGGGGAGGAGTCTGGGGGAGCCCTGGGGGCTTTATGAGAGCAGCCCGGGGTGGGGGGGGGGTGTTTGCTGGAGAGGCAGGTGGTGAACATTGCAGAGGTCAGTTGTGTAAGGAGGCGTGGGGGCGATCGCTGCTTGCTGAGATGATTCATTGCGTTTCCACGTGTGAACGTGGTTTTCACCTTCTCCGAACTGAGTCAGGAAGAGAAAATCTTGTCTGGGAAGGACCGGATAGCACTTCGCCGTGAGAACAGGAGGTATGATGGATTGGGGATGGCTCTGTGTAAAGCACCCCTTCCTGCTGAGTTAACACGCTTTCAAAATAGACGTGTCGGTATTAATTTAAGAGGAGGCTGATGCCAGAGAGAAGCTCTGAAGCTCTCTGGCTTTTAAACGGCTGTGCCATCAGAGCCTTCTGTAGCTCCTCGCTTTTCCAACCAAGCCTCTTAAGAAAAGAAGCCACAAAGAAAATGTTTTGTGTGGTTCTGCGTGTATGTGAATAGTACCCGGCCACAGGCCGCTGTGGCATAAAGGGGGAACCTCAGGCCACGGGGACCACGGAGCAGTGCTTTCTCTGCTCTGAGCTGCCTCCGGGTCTGGGAAATCGTGTTCTGGAAGGCAGATCATTCCTTTGGTGGCGTTCGTAAAGTTTTGTCGCTGATCTGTGTTTCTTTTATTATAAAAATAACGTGGATTCATCTCAGGAAAATCGGAAATCAAGTAATAGGTACAAGTCTTATTTCGTACTTGCCATAAAATTAATACCGTGTTATTTTCTTTAAGTTGAACTAGACCCGATTTCAGGGCTTCACCCCCGGGTCCAGAGAGATCCCGGGGTTCTTCTGTGGAGCACGGCCCCCAGGGCATCTGTGGCTCCTACAGTTTGGGCCCACAGTGGTTGCTGGGGAGACTCCCGCCATCCGGCCCGCGTAGCGCTCTGGCTCTGGGCGGCCTGGCGTGTGGGGGCCCTGCCTCGGCTGGGAGCCCCGGTCCGTGCGGAGTCCAGCCTCCCCAGGCCCGCCCGGCCTCTCAGTGGGTGCAGGCTCCACTCGCAGAACACGCCAGCTCGTGTTTTCTTTCTGGGCCCGGGAAATAGCTCTGATTTTCTCCCCTTTTTTCTTCAGAGGAACTGGCTTCCCTTCTCCCTCTGGGACAGATTCTTGCTAGTGAGTTTCAGCTTGAACTTTGCCTAAATGTGTCGCTTTCAGCCTGACTGCAGCGCCTTGCCCTGAGCCAAGGAGCTCAGAGAGCGCTCTGCCTTCTTGGAGTGGGGGAAAGGGAAATTACAGAGAACCAAACACAAACCAGAATCTTCCTAAAGCGCCTGCCGTAGACGGAAAAACCCCAAGTGGAAAGTGAAGGCCCACCTTCTGGGAATAACTGTCGTTTGGGGACAGCCTTGTCGTCTTCTCCTTTTTCCGTGCCTGTCATATCAAAAGGTGGCTTTGCTGTTCTTTTTATAACAGCAAATTGGTCGTTCTCTTCTTTTTAACACATTGAGGGCACCTGGCTGGCTTGATCTGCGGGGAAGCGACTCCTGATCCCAGGGTGGTGGGTTCGTACCCCACATCAGGTTGTGGACAGTACTCAGAATTTTTTTTTTTATACACTGAGATGAGACATTCTACTTTTTCATCTTGATACATTTCAGTATTTCTGAATTTGTTTTTCTTACTCCTTGGCTGAAAATATGTAAAAATTCCAAGGGTGATGTCTTTCGGTTGATGAGTTTTGTTAATACTTTTCTTCCTAGTCTCACCTTTTCCCCTTGTGGGTTCCTCTGGCCCTTCCTCACCAGCTCCCTTCCCCCCCACCTCCATCATCCTGCATCATCCTGCATCATCCTGCATCATCCTGATCCCTCCAACTGCCTCTCCGCCTTCTGCGCCCAGCTCTTACCCCCAGTTTGGGGGTAACCGTGGTAATGCATTGCGTCTGTGACCATCTATTCCCCGAGCTCTTCATCAGGTATTTTGCCTGGGGTGGATAGCACAGCAGGTGACGCCCAAGATGGGGTTGGAATGGTCCCCAAGCAAGCATCTGTAGTAAAGGGAAACCATCGAACTGGAATGCTCTTGTCATCATCTGGTTCACACGCAGTTTCTTGTTTTTTCCACCAGGTGACAGCATGGGACCTCTTCAGCAGAGAGCGGTCCCATGAGCACTCCAGGGCTCTCCTTCTAGGGATGACAGACTGTTGAGAAAGCACCCATTTCTCATCAGCAAACATCACAAACCCTTTGAGGGGACAGAGTAGGTTAGATGGGGGGGTGCCTTGACCCACGTTCTTTCCGGGAGTTGATCTGTAGGCCGTGGCTGCTTTTTGGCTAATCTGCAGTTGTATATTTCATTCGGTACTTTGAGAAATGGTTACACCTGTTAACAGTTCTGGAGTCAGGGTGGCCTCGTTCCCACGGTCAAGTCCCCCCTGCAGAGAACTCTCAGGAACAGCAACCCCCCACCCCTCCCTGGCACGCTGCCCAGGTGTGACTGCAGAGCAGGCCAGGTCAGAGCGGGGCAGAGGCTGGAGTGGGGACACGGGCCACCGCCCGACCGCAGCTTCCCGGGTGCTCTGAGTGACCCCCCCCCCCCCCGCCGCCCCGTGCTCCTCAGTCTGCCCTTCTGAGATCTAGCCCGTCCCAGAGGCAGCTGGCAAAGTGAAGGCCACGGGCAGTAATGTCTCCTGCTAGATTTGGAAGCATTTTTGCTGGATGGAGGCTGAGGCTCCGGGTCCTGTTTATAGGCTCGTTAGGCCATTGACTCAACACACGACCTTGACGGTGACTTGGGCGGAAGACTGTCCGAGTAAGTGCAGTTCGGGCCGACTGCGGCGGGGGGAGCGCTGCGTGTGGGCCGGTGGGTGGCTTTCGGAGTGCTTGTTTGGGTGGTGGTTACTTCTTCGTCTCTGGAGTCCTCCTGACTGAACCGGGGGAAGCGTTAAGGATGCAGTCGCCCGCTGGCCTTCAGCTGTGTCTTTGTCTCCTCTGTCACATGCTGGTGCTTCTCTCCACTCGCGTGTCATTTAGAGCCACTGCCGCGCTGTGCTCCCCGAGAGGAAGCTTGATTGAGTCACACGCAGACGCCCGAGCTCGGGCTCTACTGTGTTCTACCTGCCAACATTGACTGGCTGTCACTGCCCTTGAGCCTGGACCTGCTTCCTTCTTTCTCCAGTGTCCTTCCCTTAGGGGACTGGCCTGGGGGTAGACGTTGTTCACCAAATTGACAGTCTCTGCTGCTACTGCTCTTATCCGCACCCCTCCCCCCCCCCCCCCCCCCCCCCCAGGTTTCTAAGGAAGATTCAGAGGAAGTGTTCTGAGGCCTCTGGGCTTTTATGTGAGCTTCAGAGGCCTTTAAACAAATGGTGATGGGCTAGTTGTAGGCTTGTAGAGGAACGGCTTCATCCTGAGCTGCTGCCATGTTTGGGAAGTTGCTGTGGCCGTGGGAAGTGTTTTCCAGGGCAGCCGTCCTCAAGAGGGCCCTCAGGGTCAAAACCGTTTTCATCACCGGACACGGTCATCCTTTTTTGCTGTTGATGTTTGCACTTGATGGTACAGGAGGGACGGTGGGTGAGACAGCTGGTGCCTTAGCGTGACTCAAGGCGGTAGCACAGGACTGTGTTAGTGGCCGTTGCTCTCGGCATCGGTGCTGCTCGCAGGGGGTGGGAGAGGCTCGTTCCACTTAAGAGCGGCCTCGATGAAATAGTAAAAACGACTGGTGTTATTAAACCTCAACCCTTAGGAACGCCTTGGTGGTTCATTTGGTTGAGCATCCAACTCTTGATTTTGGCTCAGGTCATGATCCCAGGGTCATGGGATCAAGACCCACATTGGGCTTCACAGGAGTGTGGAGCCTGCTTAAGAAAGGTTCTCTCCCTGGGGCGCCTGGGTGGCTCAGTCGGTGAAGCGGCCGACTTCGGCTCAGGTCATGATCTCGCGGTCCATGAGTTCGAGCCCCGCGTCGGGCCCTGCTGACAGCTCGGAGCCTGGAGCCTGCTTCGGATTCTGTGTCTCCCTCTCTCTGACCCTCCCCCGTTCGTTCTCTGTCTCTCTCTGTCTCAAAAATAAATAAACGTTTAAAAAAAATTTTTTTTAAAAAAAGAAGCTACTACTTGTCAAGTTTTCATGTGGAATCAAAGACTATTCACAGTTATCTGGAAAGGCCCCCATCTGCACAAGGCCGTATTTTCTTCACACATTTCAACCAAAACAGCTCTTGGACAGCACAGTGACTGCAGAAGCAAATACCAGAGTCCAGCTGTGTTCCATTAAGCCAGACCCTAAAGAGATTTACAAAAACAGAACACGGTTCCACTCTCCTCGTAAATTGTTTTTGAGTGAGTTATTTTTTATTAAAAAGATATTTAATACGAACATGTAGTGGATTCCTTCTTTCACTTTTGCATCGATTATGAAATACTTCCGAAATTTGTTTCATCTTCTAATTTGGTGAATAATGACAGATGTTACCAAAAACAATCAAACGTTCTTTGAGGTCCTCAATAATTTTGAAAAGCGTGAAGGAACCCAGAGGTCAAAAGTTTGAGAACCGTGTGTTAGAGATGAGGCTTGTTGAATCTCTCGTCACTACAGTCACGACCGAAAAGTCTGCCTGGTTCTTTTTTCCTGTGCCTACAGAGTTTATTTCAGGCTTGGCCAGATTCTTCGTTCTGGGCCTCTCGTGCCAAAAAAAAAAAAAAAAAAAAAAAGAAAGAAAAAGAAAAAGTTTTGTTGGGTGTGTTCATGTAAACAGACCTAATGAAAAACCCATTGATGAGAAAGGAAGAATTATTCCCCTCACCTGTTTTTGTAAATAAAGTTTTCTTGGAATGCCCCGTGCCCACTTGTGGAAGCATCGCCCGTGGCCGCTCCCTGCGCTTCAGTGGCAGGGTTGAGTGGTCGGGGCAGAGATCATCT